AAGAAAAGAAGAGAAAAGAACACCAAGGAAGGAAGGAAGGAAAGAAAGAACGAAAGAAAGAAAGAAACACATAAATAAATAAAGAAAGAAAGACAGAGAGAGAGAGAGAGAGAGAGAGAGAGAAAGAAAGAAAGAAAGAAAGAAAGAAAGAAAGAAAGAAAGAAAAAAAGAAAGAACGAAAGAAAGAAAGAAAGAACGAACGAACGAAAGAAAGAACGAAAGAAAGAAAGAAAGAAAGACAGACAGAAAGAGAGCAGGGCGAGCGCGCGCTCGTGTGCTATGGACGGCTTACTGGGCTCTTGCCCTCCTCTTGTCCTCTGTGCTGGGCTCTGTGGCTGGGCCTTGTCCTCTTCTTGTCCTTGTCTTGGCAACTCTGTGGCTGGGCTCTGTGGCCCCGCTCTGTGTCCGCGTCTTGTCCTCCTCTTGTCCTTGTCTTGGCCACGCCCCTGAACTCTGTGGCTGGTCTCTGTGGCCCGGCTTACTGGAGAGGAGTGTGGCCGAACAAATAGGGATGTCAATGCCGACAAAAATTCATTGATGAAGCAGTTTGCTCTTGGGGTGAAAGTAGGGCGAACCAAGAAATCAATCGGTTTAAGCAAATCATTTTGAAACTGTTTGGGGTCTATGCTTGTATAATATTTAATACACACATCTCACTTCTATTTGATCGCGTTGTGTTCGCTGTGCCTTTGGGAGGTGCCAGCCTCTGACTCGCCTTGGTCAGCAACTTGGCCCCGCGTCGAAGTGACGGCGAACATCTGAAGGTTAGAGCGCTTTAGGGCGTTGTCCAATTTTCGATCTCACTGGTTCGCCGGTCATGGTTTCTTCAACACTTAGATGGCACCCCGAGCACTGAATTCAGATGCACTGCTTGGCTTGGCATGAGTCTTATGGCCTGAGGTCACATGTGGAGCCGTGGGCGAATCCCTGTTTGGAGCGATTGCTGGTGGGGAGCATGATGGAGCATGTGGGTCGCCCTAAAGTACAATCTGGGCGCTGTTCGCTCTCCCGTGAAACGCCCAATCTGCGTGACACGCAGTGCCCGGTGCACAGCGGAATTCTGTGACCGCTCCTGTGGACCCTTTGGACACAGTAAACTACTTGTATGGCCCACAACAGCTCAGCTGGTAGAAGCAAGTCTATTCTTTGTCCGTGAAGTTGGGGTATGCAGATTCCCAGGAATATCCTTGCCGCATTCGCATGGACATTCAAGCATGCTGACACGGGATGCCAAGACAACCTGCGGTCGGGTCAGGTGGCTTCTCGAAGACAAGCCACGTTTCAAGGCGCTCAAGTTGCAGTTGCTACCAACTGAGCACCGTACAGGACGGACATTTTTCTCACCCTCTCAGACATTCGTTTGTAAGGTTCCTTCGAAGCCCAGTAAGGTTTGGCGCTCACCAAACCCAAGCCTGACCAATTTTACCTTGCTCAGGCAATGCTGAGGCACGCCCGCGTTATGCGAAACCATGGATATGAGCACTTTGAGATGAAGTATATACACGGGGAATGGGGGGTTGTGCGAGGGATTTGATGGATGGTTTTCACATGTTTTAACCCACAGCCCCTGTTAAGGGGTCGTCTTCGTGAGTTGGGGCGTCAAACACCTGTTATTTCCTCGAAGTCTTCGTGGCCATCAGTTTAGAGGTCTAGGTACATGTCCTGTGCCAAAGGTTCAGCACAAAGACACAAGGAGTCTCCGTGTTCTGGAATTTGGAGGCACAGTATGTTCTGGTCTTGATAAGTCATTGAAGGCCAAGTTGCGGCTTCAAGGGGGCTGTTTCCTGCTGGTCAGACAGGCACACTTGATAGCCGCACCATTTGCTCTAAGCCAACACCCCAGATGATTCATAAATGAACAATCAGGACACCAGAAATCGCACATTTTGATGGGATACAAGCGATTATACGTTTTCGCAAAGAGATGGGTCATGATCTGATATGAGCAGTTCATCTCTAGGTCTTATGTCGATCATTCCATAGTGTGCCCCGCTCGAACTCGAACTCGAACTCGAACTGAAACAGTTATACAGTATTGATGAACTTAACTATTAACCTTGAAAGGATATATATGGAAGGAACCGAACTCGAACTCGAACTCGATCTCGAACTCGATCTCGAACTCGAACTGGAACTGTTAGAAGTCAACCCAGTGGACGAATAGAAAGAGTCGAACTCCAAGATCGCTGTCGTCGATTCGAATTCGAACTCGAACTCGAACTGGTCCCCCCCCCCCGGTGTCAAAATTGTCGTCGATTTGAAATTCGATCTCGAACTCGAACTGCGTTTCCCCCCCTCCGGGCGTCAAAAATGTCGTCGATTGGAATTCGAACTCGAACTCGAACTAGTTCCCCCCCCCGGAGTGTAAAAATTATCGTCGATTCGAAGTCGAATTCGAACTAATGCTGCGTTGTAATGGCTCCTTCCTATTCTAAATTTCACCTTCAAATGGCCCATAACAGGAATGCTACAGTGTAATATAATGGCTCCTTCCGGCTGTAAATTTTACCCTCGGGTGGCCCACAAAAGGCATGCTACGTTGCAATGGCTTCTTCCTTTTCTAAATTTTACTTTCGAATGGCCCATCAAAGGAATGCTACGTTGTAAATCGTTGTAATGGCTCCTTCCTACTCTAAAATTTACCATCGGGTGGCTCACAAAAAGAAATGCTTCGTTGTAATGGCTCCTTCCTGCTCTAAATTTTACCCTCGGGTGGCCCACAAAAGGCACGCTACGTTGCAATGGCTTCTTCCTTTTCTAAATTTTACCCACGAAAGGAATGCTACGTTGCAATGGCTTTTTCCTACTCTAAACTGTATCTGTGGCCCACAAAAGGCATTGCAATAGGCTTCTTCCTATTCTAAATTTTACCCTCGGATGGCCCACATAAGGGATGCTACGTTGTGGTCAGATGGTTGGTTGCTGCTGCAGGTGGCTGTTGGTTGGTTGGTTAGCAGGTTTTTTTTGCGGCAGGGAGTTCACACTAAAATGTTGATTTCGTGGCAGGCGCGGGTTTTGGCGAGGAAGTGCAGATTTCGTGGCGCGGGGGGGGG